TTTGGGCACCCCGCAGCTTGCCTAACCAACTAGCAATTGACATCAGCAGCATTCCATGGCTAACGAAAGGGGCTACTACCACTGCATCAATAAGGACAGTAGCTCGCACACAGTAGCTCAACAAAACATGAAGATCGTGGCCATAGGTCCAAGGTGTCCACAAAGCTGTCCCTTCACCCAGCACAACAATTGTTGCGGTGAGGATGCATCAGGTGCTGCTGTGCAGGTCTTAGTACATGTGCATGACACCTTCACTTAATGCTATCAATGCCACTGTAGCAAGCTACATTTCCCTTAGAATATTTCAACGATTACTTTTAACAATAATTGTTAATTCGTTCATGATTCGACTCAAGTTTTGTACATGTTACGAGCCACGTCACATGCATCGAACATGACAGTTGTTCGTAAGCAAACCTAACGGGCTGGGGCCCTGGGCCCCACCAACATTATCCTAGTACGGCAAGACCGTGGTAGGGAATCTCCGGCAGGTAGGCCGAGATATAAGCTACCCGGGCGGGGTGCTCTGGCCAGACACTGACGTATCACATCTACTAGGTGTTCGGAGTTCAAGACTCCACTGCCGCCGTCTCTGATTGTTTCATACATGTCTATGTACGCTAGTGCTTGCCGCTGGGTTGGACTTATTCCTACTCCGGCGAGGACAGCCAACACCACGCTTCCGCTTATCCAGTCGACCCGCCAGGTGAGCAACTGCTACAGCCACGCAGAATGTACAACCGGGTGTCGGCTGACCGCTCATGCTTTTTGGGGTCGGGCGGCCAGGCAGCCTCTCGCTCCTCACAGGCCTTCCTCTTCTTCGTTCCTGCCCGCACCTTAAACTTGTTGTAGATGCTAGGATCCACCACAAAGTAAAGGCTGGGTTGGCGGCCCTCCTGGCCCGGAGCAGAGATGCCGAGTCGCTTGAACACGTCTTCGAGGTCATCAGCATTAATTTCCTTCATAGCCGACACAGTCATCTGGAAAAGGTACATTGCCAGCACCATAAGAGCATCAATGACGGGGAAGTTGGAGGACTTGGGCCTCAAGTATGTGTCCATCTTAGTGCTCATCATACCATGACCTCATTGTCTGTGAAGATGTTATACTGCTTGCATTCC